AGCAGTTCCCCCCCCTGCTGAGAACAGCCTGGGGTAAGCCCTGCTTTCCCTTCCTGAGCCGTCGGATGGTTTGCCAGAACCTCCTTGAGGCCAACCGAAAGTCCTTCTCCATGGCCTCCCCGAACTCCTCCCATGCCCGAGTTTTAGCATCCGCGACCACCGCAGCTGCAGCCCTTCTGGCCTACCGGTACCTGTCAGCTGCTTCAGGAGACCCCTAGGCCAACCAGGCCTTGAAGGCCTCCTTCTTCAGCTTGATGACTTCCCTCACCTCCGGTGTCCACCACCGGGTTCTCAGGTTGCCGCCACTACAGGCACCGATGGCCTTCCGACCACAGTTCAGTTCCTAGCGGCCGCGTCCACAATACAAGCTTTGAACATGGTCCATTCGGATTCCATGTCCCCAACCTCCCTCGGGATGTGTAAGAAGTTCTTCTGGAGGTGGAAGTTAAAGACCTCCCGGACAGGGTCCTCCACCAGACGTTCCCAGTTCACCCTCACTACACGTTTGGGCTTGCCGGGTCTTTCCAACCGGTTCCCCTGCCATCTGATCCAACTCACCACCAGGTGGTGATCAGTTGACAGCTCTGCTCCTCTCTTCACCCGAGTGTCCAAGACATACGGCTGTTACATACATACATACTGTTAATGTATCAATAATACTGTTAATATATCAATAATACTGTTAATGTATCAGTGATGATGTTAATATATGATATCAATAATACTGTTTTGATTTCTACATGTATCTCTTATTTATTTATTTTAATATCAGCTTTACTCCTCTACATAATAATTATTAATATATATTATTAAAATCATATCATAACCCTTTCAAAATAAGACGTGAAACTACTGCGCATGTCCACAAAATCAGCTATGACGGAGGTGGGGCTTCCGTGACGTACCCGGAAGAGATTCACACGTGCGCTGGTTTGTTCTCTGAGAGTTTCACGGTGAGTTAATTCAGGTTTTATTTGTCTGTTTCTCTTAGTTTCACAAACTGAAGCAGCTGCTGTTAGCATGAGGCTAGCATTAGCTGCTACACACACAAACACACACACACGTGTTACTGTGGTTAAAGTCGGAGCTAACGATGCTAAACAGGATAGCTGTAGCAGACGCTGGTCCCACTGCGCATCACGCTGGACTCCGTCCAGAGATGTGTCACTTTACCGCTTCCTCTGCTGTGAAACAGTGAAACACGGAGTATAACATCTCATATTGACCCTGAACACATCACCGAGGGGCGGTCTGTAGTTCGGCTCACGTTAAAGGAATCAAACGTTTGTGTCTGTGATGCATTTCCGTTATTCTCGTTGAGCTCCACTGAAACACAGCAGAGAGAAATGCTTCTTAACGCTCGCGCCACTGATTCAAACTGCAGCAGTGAGTCACAGTTTAGAAGCTTCTCACGTTGTTGATGTAAAATCCGATGTTATATAAAATTATCACGTGTTTTATGGCTTTTGGATCTTCTGTGTTTAGTTAGTCTTCTTTCAGTTTGAGAACATGTTGATGGTTTCTGTATCAGCTAATCCATGACACTCATCAATCTATCAATCAATAACTTTGATAAGGTCATCAGGATCAGTGTCTGTCTGCTGTGACCAGGTGATGACGTCATCAGCAGAGGACCAGCTGTGTCTGAACATCTGCAGCAGCCTCTCTTCCTCCTCTTCCTCCAGGAGGAAGCCTCTGACCGCTCAGCAGAGATGGGCCAGAGTGAGTAATCAATAATCTGATCAGTGTTATCAATAATCTGATCATCAGTGTTATCAATAATCTGATCATCAGTGTTATCAATAATCTGATCATCAGTGTTATCAATAATCTGATCATCAGTGTTATCAATAATCTGATCATCAGTTTTATCAATAATCTGATCATCAGT